CGGGGGTTGGGAGAGGGTGTGGTTACGCAGTTGGCTGAATAGCTAGTGGGTGGAACTGATTAAAGCCAACAGCACAGTGTTTAAGAGATAACAAGGTGTAGAGCTGGATGAACACAGCAGGCCAAGCGCATCAGAGGAGCAGGAAAGCTGACGTTTCGGGCCTAGACCCTTCATCAGAAATGGGGGAGGGGAAGGGGGTTCTGAAATAAATAGGGAGAGAGGGGGAAGTGGATAGAAGATGGATAGAGGAGAAGATAGGTGGAGAGGAAACAGACAGGTCGAAGAGGCGGGGATGGAGCCAGTAAAGGTGAGTGTAGGTGGGGAGTTAGGGAGGGGATAGGTCAGTCCAGGGAGGACGGACAGGTCAAGGGGGCGGGATGAGGTTAGTAGGTAGGAGATGGGGGTGCGGCTTGAGGTGGGAGGAGGGGATAGGTGGGAGGGAGAACAGGTTAGGGAGGCGGGGACCAGCTGGACTGGTTTTGGGATACGGTAGGGGGAGGGGAGATGTTTAATCTCTATTCCAGCAGATACAGATTCAACAACTGTCTCTGCAGCTTACCCCTAGTTAACCTTCATGGCACTTTACTTTGGTTCTGCGAATAATCAGTGAGCTGAAGAAGAAGAGAATCAAGTCAAAATATTGCAGATGGTGCAATTCTGAAACAAACACAGAATGCTGAATAATCTCAGCAGGTCTAGCAATATCTGTGGAGAGGTAAACAGAGTTAATATTTGAGGAAGGGTCACCAGACCCGAAACATTAACTCTGATTTTTTTCTTCACAGATGCTGCCAGACCTGCTGAGCTTTTTCAGCAACTTCAGCAACACTTTTGTTCTTAATATTTCAAGTCCGGTATGACTTTTCAGAAATGAAGAAGATTCATATGGGATTCGAAACATTTTCATAAAACCTTAAGACATAGGAGCAGAAATTAGGCCATTCGGCCCATCAAATCAGCTCCGCCATTCAATCACGGCTGATAAGTTCCTCAACCCCATTCTCCCATTTTCTCCTCGTAATCCTTGATCCCCTCGATAATCAAAAACCTATCTATCTCAGTCTTAAACGTACTCAATGACCTGGCCTCCACGGCCTTGTGTGGCAGTGAATTCCATAGATTCACCACTCTCTGGCTGAAGAAGTTTCTCCTTATCTCCGTTCTAAAAGGTCTTACCTTTACTCTAAGGCTGTGCCTTGGGTCCTAGTCTCTCCTACCAATGGAAGCATCTTCCCAACATCCACTCTGTCCAGGCCATTCTGTATTCTGTAAGTTTCAATTAGATCCCCCCTCATCCTTCTAAACTCCAAGGAATATAGTCCCAGAGTCCTCAAACGTTCCTCATATGTTAAGCTTTTCATTCCTGGGACGATTCTCGTGAACCTCCTCTGAACCCGCTTCAGGGCCAGTACATCCTTCCTGAGATATGGGGCCCAAAACTGCACACAATACTCCAAATGTGGCCTGATCAGAGCCTTAAAAAGCCTCAGGAGTACATCCCTGCTTTTATATTCAAGTCCTCTCAAAATAAATGCCAACATTGCATTTGCCTTCCTGACTACTGACTCAACCTGCAAGTTTACCTTGCGAGAATCCTGACTCTCTAAGTCACTTTGCACTTCAGACTTCTGAATTTTCTCCCCATTTAGAAAATAGTCCATGCTTCTATTCTTCTTACCAAAGTGCATGACCTCACACTATCCCACGTTGTACACCATCTGCAATTTCTTTGCCCACTCTCCTAACCTGTCCAAATCCTTCTGCAGCCTTCCCGGCTCCTCAATACTACCTGTCCCTCCACCTACCTTTGTATCGCCTGCAAACGTAGCCAGAATGCCCACCATTCCTTCATCTAGATCATTAATGTATAAAGTGAAAAGTTGCGGTCCAACACTGACCCTTGTAGAACACCACTTGTCACTAGCTGCCATCCTGAGAAAGACCCCTTTATCCCCACTCTCTGCTTTCTGCCAGACAGCCAATCTTCTATCCATGCTAGCACCTTGCCTCTAACACCATGGATCCTTATCTTACTCAGCAGCCTCCTGTGCGGCACCTTATCAAAGGCCTTCTTGAAGTCCAGGTAGATAATATCCATTGGCTCTCCTTGGTCTAACCTGCTCATTACTTCCTCAGAGAATTCTAGCAGCTTTGTCAGGCATGACCTCCCCTTGATGAAACCGTGCTGACTTTGCCTTACTTTACCATACACTTCCAAATATTCAGAAATCTCATCCTTTACAATGGACTCCAAAATCTTACCCACGACCGAGGTTAGGCTAATCGGCCTGTAATTTTCCGTCTTTTGCCTTACTCCCTTTTTAAACAGGGGTGTCACGTTAGTGATTTTCCAGTCCTCTGGGACCCTCCCTGACTCTAGCGATTCCTGAAAGATCACCACTAATGCTTCCACTATCTCTTCAGCTATCTCCTTTAGAACTCTGGGGTGTAGTCCATCTGGTCCAGGTGATTTATCCACCTTCAGGCCAATTAGTTTTTCTAGCACCTTCTCCTTGGTGATGGCCACCGTACTCAGCTCTATCCCCTGACTCTCTTGAATTTTTGGGAGATTACTTGTGTCTTCCACTGTGAAGACTGACATGAAGTAATTATTCAGTTCCTCAGCCATTTCCTTGTTCCCCACTACTATATCTCCAGCATCATTTTCCAGTGGTCCAATGTCCACTTTTGCCTCTCTTTTCCCATTTATATATCTAAAGAAACTCTTACAGCCTTCATTTATATTACTGGCTAGCTTACCCTCATATTTAATCTTCTCCCTCCTTACTTTTTTTTTTGTTGCCCTCTGTTGGTCTTTGAAAGCTTCCCAGTCCTCTGGTTTCCCACTGCCCTTCGTCACATTATATGCTTTCTCTTTTGCTTTTATGCTATCCCTGACTTCCTTAGTCAGCCATGGTTGCTGCATCCTCCCTGTACCATGCTTCTTTTCCCTTGGGATGAATTTTTGCTGTGTCTCCTGAATTACTCCCAGAAACTCCTGCCATTGCTGTTCCACCGTCTTTCCTGCTAGGCTCCTCTTCCAGTCAATTCTCCCCAGCTCCTCCCTCATACCTCTGTAGTTGCCTTTATTCAGCTGTAATACCGTTACCTCTGATTCTATCTTCTCCCTCTCAAATTGCAGAGTAAATTCTATCATCTTATGACCACTGCCTCCTAAGGGTTCCTTTACCTTAAGCTCCTTTATCAAGTCTGCCTCATTGCACTACACTAAATCCAGTATTGCCTGTGGCCTCCTCTACAACGGGGAAACCATGCGGAGGCTTGGGGACCGCCTTGCAGAACACCTACGCTCAGTTCGCACTAAACAACTGCACCTCCCAGTCGCGAACCATTTCAACTCCCCCTCCCATTCCGCAGACAACATGTCCATCCTGGGCCTCCTGCAGTGCCACAATGATGCTACCCGAAGGTTGCAGGAACAGCAACTCATATTCCGCTTGGGAACCCTGCAGCCCAATGGTATCAATGTGGATTTCACAAGCTTCAAAATCTCCCCTCCCCCTACTGCATCCCAAAGCCAGCCCAGCTAGTCCCCGCCTCCCTTACCTGTCCTTCCTCCCACCTATCCCCACCCCCATCTCCTACCTACTAACCTCATCCCGCCCCCTTGACCTCTCCGTCCTCCCTGGACTGACCTATCTCCTCCCTACCTCCCCACCTACACTCAGCTTTACTGGCTCCATCCCCGCCTCTTTGACCAGTCTGTCTCCTCTCCACCCATCTTCTCCTCTATCCATCTTCTATCCGCCTCCCCCTCTCTCCCTATTTATTTCAAAACCCCCTTCCCCTCCCCCATTTCTGAAGAAGGGTCTAGGCCAGAAATGTCAGCCTTCCTACTCCTCTGATGCTGCTTGGCCTGCTGTGTTCATCCAGCTCTCCACCTTGTTATCCCTTTCCACAGATGTTGTCTGACCTACAGAGGTTTTCCAGGATTTTATTTGAATTCACTCTTTACGCATAGACCAGAGCACCTCAGACACAGCAAGGAATATATCCCAACCCTTCATATAATCATAGAATCCCTACAGTACAGATGAAGGTCATTTGGCCCATCAAGTCTGCACCGACCCTCTGAAGAGCATCCCACCCACATCCACTTCTCACACCCTATGCCCATCAACCCGCATTAACCATGGTTAATCCACCTAGCCTACGCAACCCTGGACACTGTGGGACAATTTCGCATGGCCAATCCACCTAACCTTCACATCTTTGGGGTTTGGAAGCGAACTGGAGCACCCGGCGGAAACCCGCACAGACACAGGGAGAATGTGCAAACTCCACACAGACAAGACTAGTCGTGCAACATAAAAAAAATACCTTGAGTGGAAATATCAGATGATGAACTTGCCGTGGGTACACACCGCTGTAGCTCCCCACCACTTTCTCAAGGGCAATTAGGGATGGTGGTCTCGTCGGTGATGTTCCCATTCCGAGAGTGAAGGAGGAAGAAGCTGCTGAGTCAACACTGACATATTCCTATAGTCTGCAATAAAAAGTTATCAGGGTGAAAATAATAGTCGATAAAAAGTAAGGCCAAGTCTTACCAGACTATAGGACTGCTCTCTTATGGTAGAGACCTTTAACCTGAGGGTCAATAAACAGATTTATTGGAACTTTTATGATGTTGAGATTTTACCGCCAAGGAATTCTGGATTTAGTGATTATTAAATTGGATTGAAAAATGTGGTAAAGGAAACGGTGCATTCAGAATCTTCTTATATCCAATTTCCAAAACAAAGCCAGGTGCGTAACTTTTGAGCTCCTTTCGTGGAAAGTAGGCGAGGTTCTGAAATTCCTGTGTACAGAGCTGCGTCAACTGGTGAAATTGAAGGCAGGTATAGAAATGATCAGGAAATTGACGCAGGTGCTAGTGTCAACGATCCCGCCTCTTCAGCGAGCCGTTTCTCATGTATATAAGAAAAGTAGTTACTCATCAGTTACTGTCTCAGAGCTTCCAATTTCCCTGTACCCGTGGGTTACTGCAGGGAAGTGCATTTAGCTGCCCAAGTCTTTGCAGTGCCACATCTGGGCATTGCCCCTCACTGGATGCGCCAGAACACAACATGCTGTACAAAGTGCTCAGTTCGGACAGCCTTCACGATCACAGCAGCAATGACAGTGACTTTGATGATTACTACCGAAAGAGCAACCGGTCCCCCATAGCCGGGAGGGTCGCCAAGACAGAGGCGGACTGTTCACAGCCGAGCCCGAGTACCTCTGGACCCCTGAAGCACAGCAAAAATAGCCCTGAAGCTGCAAAGGAGGCACCCACTGGTAAGATTCCTGCTCAGATTGGCACTGCAGGCTCCTAACGCATTCGTGGCAAATTCAAACATGATTTACAATGCGAGCAATAAACATTCTTAAAGTTGAATGTTTGGCAATCAACCGAAACGTGGTGCTGAATATTCTGTTTTCCGAAGCATAATAGATCAGGGTAGGCTTTAATCTGATTTTAGCATTCTGGAGTGAAAATTGCAAATGTGTAAACTGACAGGAACTGATTCGAAAGCAACTTATTGTAATATTTGCATACACAACAAAATTAACAACTGAAACCAGAATAAATACTAAATTGAGTAGATAATAGTTCAATGCCCTGAACTTTACCGCTTAATGGTTGTCTGTATGTTATATATTATGGTTACTTACTTTATTTGTACTGTCAGCACAGTTCAGCAGCTGCTGCCAAGAGGATTTTTCGATAAATCAGTAATCTGTCCAACATCACAAAAAGCACAGGTTGTTGGGTCATTTATTTCATGGCTGTTTGTGAGATCTTACAGTGGTCAACAAGACTGTTACATTCCCTACACTGTAAAAGTGCAAACATTTGAAAACAGTACTTCATTGACTGTAAAGCAATTTGGGAACTGCTGAAGTCATGAGCAGTGCTGTATAAATGCACACTCTTTCTGCTTGTACCTGAGATCAGAGTTTTAGATAGATTTTGCTTCGTTGTTTGAAATAGTGTAGGTGTCTATTTGCTTCGAATTGATCAGAAATAACCAGGATATCAATATCACTGAAATGTCCAGTATCGGCAATCACAGAGCAAGTTGGACTAACACAAGGTGCTGCACTTCATAAACTGTGGAACTCAGAAACCCTGCAAAAAGTTTGGAAAAGGCCCAGATCTTTTTGAAATCATGCTGCTTAATTCATAGAATCCTTACATGTCGATAGAGACCATTCAACCCATCAAATCTGCACCGACCCTCCAAACAGCATCCCACCCAGACCCACCTCTTCCCATAACCCTGCATTTACCATGTCTAATCCATCTAGCCTGCAAATTTCTGGTTACTGTGGCGCAATTTAGCATGGCCACTCCACCTAACCTGCGCATCTTTGGACTGTGGGAAGAAACCAGAGCACCCGATGGAAATCCATGCAGACACAGGGAGAATGTGCAAATGCCACACACACAGTCGCTCAAGCCTGGATTCAAACCCAGGTCCCTAGTGCTATGAGGCATTAGTGCTAACTCCGGTGCTGCCATGCCACCTGTATTAGGTCAGATAGATCTGGAAGAATTTATACAAACATTATCAATAGGGTTGTCATCTTTTCGGAATCCTTTTGGAGATTATTTGATTGATTTATAGATTAAGAATCTGTCCTTAGACATTTTAGCTACTGCATTATTTTACCTGGGAAAATTTACTTGCAAATGCAATTTGTATTATAAAAGTTATGGGAATGGTTATTTTATTTTACATTCCTTGTAGCTCAACAGTTTCAAACTAATAGATAATGTGGCTGTTTCTGCTAGAAATAGTTCTTAAAATGCCAAAATTGTCAACTTTAGCATTAATACAAATGATTATGACTTTCCAGTTGATGCAACAGACTGCTAACATTAACTGAACTGGAGGTATTGCGCTGCAGTGGGTAGTGTCTCTGTGGTTGATCCAGAAACTTCATATTTGAGTTCTATTTCGGATCTTGATGGCCAAAGAAATTGGCCAGTTTGATTATTGACCTGCACACCCTTTGAAAATGCAAGTGTCCTTGTCAGCCTCAAGCTGCAGCCCTAGCTTCTGGGTAGTGGCATGTTCCAGGAGAAAAACAGCTACAGCACCAAACATAAGCACCATTGCCTGCCTCACGTACCCTAGGTGCGGGAAGTTGAAGTAAAAGTTGTACCAAAATTCTAGAACCAGTTTTTAATCAAACTTTATTTTACTTAGGCTCGAAAAATCACATGAATACAAAGTGTCAGAAGAAATACTTGGGAGTAAGAGTCCGCCGCCCAGTTCGAGATCTCCTTCGTAATTATCGCATAGCCAGAGGAAAAGATCCAGATATTGACCAGGTATGAGGAATAAGCCCTCTACATCTGCACGGCAGGTCCTTTTCTCAACAGACAAAATACCAATGTTTAGTCCTTGAATGATTAACCTCAGTGTGAAATAAATTATTCCGAGGGTTGAGGCAAATTGCATAATCAGATTGGACTCTATAGGAAAAGTGTGGTTGACTGACAAACCCGGAAATTCAGTCTTTAATCTTCATTGTAAAGCTGGTTTGATGTGAGGATTTTTAAGATGTTTTGTTTTTTTTTGACAGGTGGATGTGCCCTTCAAATCAAATAATTGTAAGTTTCGCAAAATTATATATTACATTGAAATGTCCTTTCTTTAATATATCAAGCATTGTGCATTACATGTTTGTTGATGGCTCTGTTATAGTGAGAAGACGGGTGGTCCGAGAGACTGGATATGCGACTAAGTGGAGCTCACGGGTAAGCACTGTTAGGCTCCTATAATTTACCATTTGGAAATGAGAGCAAGACCAGCATTGAAAGCCTCTCCCTGGTTGCCCTGGGGAGGTAGTGGTAGGTTTGCTTCTCCTTAAGGGTCTGACACAGTTGAGGGACTTGATGGATCACTTTGAAGGGCAGTCAATGGATGACCACATTGATGTTGGACTCAAGTCATACATCGACCTGACTCAGTAAGGCCAACAGGTTTCTGTCCCTAAAGGCTATTGACGAATCAGTTGGGTTTTGGTGACAATTCAACAGTTTTGTGGTTTCTTTTTGAAAAATTAGCACCGACTTTAAACCCCAATTGCTGTTAAGCTAAAACAAAATACTTGAATTCCTGTGGTGGAACTAGCTGCTATAGTTGCTATTTGAATGGAATACTAGACTCAGCTTATTCTACTTTTCATGTAATGGAATTGCGTAGCGTAGCTTCCAGATCCATATTTATAACATAATTTGCTTAAGTTGCTGATTTTAAGGATGTTAAGGGCAACTTGAAATTAGTAGGTGATTGTTACAGATTTCTACAAATTGATGAAAACTCTTCACAACTTGCTGTTTTTGTTTTCCTTTATCCAGATAAAAAAATCAAATGCGTTCCCACCAAGGAATTTTGAAGAACTCCTGGAAGATTTGGTAGAAGTCTTGGAGACTGATTTGAAGCAAAATGAAGCATGCCCATATCAAACAATACAGAACATGGATTGGCAGGAGGACCCCTACACCAGCAGCCCTGTCAGTTTCTGGGGTTCACACTATGGCAACCAACAGCTGCAAACAAGCCAAGGAAACTTACTAAACGGTTGGAGTTGTTCCTCTGAGTATGATGTGGCTCTTCCTGATCTGGGATCTGTATCTCCTAAACCTTATTCACACTTTAGATCGGAGGGTTGGAATAGCTCACCTACCCAGTCAGTGGCTTTCACATACCGACACTGTGTAAACACCTCTGAAGAAGATGGGACTTTCAGATGTCAGCCCTGCTATTCCCAAACTGTCGAGAAACAATCTCCACCTTGTTCCCCGTCATCTGGGGAAGAATGGTTCATCCAAGCTGAACTGAACAATATTCAGAATTGCAAATCTTCTCACAATGAAAGCAAGTCCCTTCCAGTCACCTCTCAACAGCAACACACTCTGGACGGAGCAGCCTTCTCTTTCTTCCAGTTTCAACTGCAGCATGTAGAGGGTAGCCTTTGCAATGTATCGACTCAGGAACTGCTTTCTGTGGATGAGAGTGGCAACACGTAAGTGCAACACCTGCATTCCTTGTTGGTAGAAATCCAAAATGCCAAGAGATCACCCACTCAACCTGTGCCAACTCTTTGAATGAACAACTGCGTAATCCCACTCTTGGTAGCAAAAATAATTAACTTTAACAAGTGTAAATGATAAGAACACAGCTAATCATCAAGCAATGCAGCCTAGTGCAAAAGTTCATTTAACAAATGTCATCTTAATATGCCTGTACCTGCTTAGCTCTTTTAGCTCTGTATGCTATATCAGTGCTGTTGTGAGACAGTTAGTAAAAAATTGTTAACCATAACCAGTCATCCGTAGCTTTCAAAACTCCACTGTTATTTTCAAATTTAGGAAACGGTCAGCCACCTTATCATTTAGTTTTAGAATGAAATTTGCTTCCGCTGGCTTCTCAGTTGAGAAATGTTTGTTGCCATTTCTAGGTAAGAGGCATGGTCTGAATTATTACAGTCATTGCTGCACTATATGTTGATGATTCAGAATCCATCCGAACAGATTAGAAATTGACGAGCAACAACTTCAGGGAAGTTGCCGGTCCCGATACACTTTAACAGATAAATGTGCAACACCAAAAACAATCCTTTTTTCTTGTAAAGTTCAAACATTTTCTTCAATGAGTACTTTTTTTAAAACGAGTATTGCTGGTGAAAAACCTGGGTATTGTGTGATTTTCCAAGTGATAGGTGTGTTTCAGAGCTTTATAAATGAACGCACGTTAGGTGAATGCCATTTCTGTCGATGAAATGCAACATACTTCTGTACTTTTGTGTATTTGACCTTTAAACATTGGATGTAGAAGGAGGTATAATGGTTCTGATTAAAATCACCTACAATTTAATACTTTTCGAATGAATCATCCAAAAGTGAATCACCCACAATTGAGATTAATTTAATGCTTTTAAAATAAAAGTAAAATACTTTCAACTGCATTATGACTAAATTGCTCAAAATAGCACAGATTTTAGTTAGAAGCAGGAGCTTCATTTAGAGCTTTGCATTATCTATTTTTGTTTTTTTGCTTTGTTCCCTTGTTTAATTATTAGTAACAGAGCATGTTTTTTAAAAATTCCAACAGAATGCTACATAATGCTGTTATTCAGGGAAAGAGAGCTTTGGCGTATAGCCTGGCCTTAAGGATGGCAAACATTGGCACAATTGATGCAAAGGATGCCAGAGGCCGAGTAAGTATTGAGAAGACTTTGAAGAAGGTTGCTGGGTTTTTTTTGTTCTTTACTTTTCTCATTTTTTTTTCCCGGACTTCCTTGTATTAACGATGACTTCAACATGACAAAATGTTTCCAAAAGTTAACTAATGCATAACAATTGGATTTACTCTCAACTATTGTTATGGATTTTAGAAAATATTTGTTCTTTGCTGAGTAACTGCAGTAACTCATGTAATTTACATTGATTGTTAGATTCGATGATTACAATGCTCTGCTTCAAGACACAATCAGTTTAAAAAGTGTTGGTCATTTTTTACAAAGCCAAAATAAAATCTCTTGTAAGACAACATGAGAGATTATGTCCATTTTATAAAAACAGACATTAACTATAATTGTAACATTTAACTTGTTCTATTTGCAACAATGCCTGCCAATATGTTCATTAAGTTGTAAAAATATTCACTTAAAAAGATATACAGTACAATAATAATACTTCTTAAAAGCTAAGATCACATTCTTCAAAGTTATGAAAAAGAGATTATTTTTATGCAGATCAATTGGAACATTAAGGTACTGTATAATGATATCAATATATTTGGTTCCACAGACTGCATTGCACTTAGCTGCTGAAAGAAATCAGCACCTGATGGTCAATGACCTCATTTCATTTGGCGCTCAAATCAATGAGAGAGATTATTTTGGAAAAACCCCAATACATTTGTGTGCAGAAAATGGATTTCTTTGTGTTTTGCATGTAAGTAAAGGAGCTCAGTGCCACTTCTGGTTAATCTGAGCATCTCAGATTATGAGTAATTACCATTCCTGCCGTATTTATCCACCAATAATATCGTTATCAATTGCGTTCAGGTAATAGAGAAAACAATGATGAATGGAATGGATGTCGTAATTGATGCCATGGACAATAATCGTAAGTATTCTTTTTGTTGAGGTTGGTTGGCTCGCCGAGCTGTTTTGTTGTTCCGTAGACGTTTCGTTACCGTGCTGGGTAACATCCTCAGTGCAGCCTCTGATGAAGCGTCGGTGTGTTTTCCCGCCTGTTTTTTAAACCCTGGGGTCCGTTGCGATGGATTGCCTCACTTCCGGATTTCCTCCGTAATGGAATGTATATGGGGTCGAGTTCAATGTGTTCAAAACTCCACGAAGCAGGCTATTAATAAACACATTGAACTCGACCCCATATACATTCCACTACGGAGGAAACCAGAAGTGAGGCAATCCATCGCAACGGACCCCAGAGTTTAAAAACCAGGCGGGAAAACACACCGACGCTTCATCAGAGGCTGCACTGAGGATGTTACCCAGCACGGTAACGAAACGTCTGCGGAACAACAAAACAGCTCGGCGAGCCAACCAACCTCAACACCCACAACCCAAGCTACAGATCTACTCCAAAACCTTAGTGAGCATTCTTTCTGAGGCTCAAAATAATTCTTGTTTTATTGACATATTGTGATGTTAATTATTTATATGAGTACAGCACATTTTTAAGCTGAAACAAAAACAAAGTGCTGGAAAAGCTCAGCAGGTCTGGCAGCATCTGTGAAGAAGAAAACAGAGGTAACATTTCTGTTCTTTTCTTCACAGATGCTGCCAGACCTGCTGAGCTTTTCCAGTAATTTCTGTTTTTGTTCCTGATTTACAGCATCCACAGTTCTTTCAGTTTTTATTACATTTTTAAGCTGCATGTGGAACTTTACAACTGAACTTTGGATGTATATGTGATAAGAGAAAACTCTGACGAGCATACGAAGACAACTCAGAATGTTTTACAGAAACATTTACAGGGTCAGGATCAAAACTATAGTGTATCATTGCATAAAGCAGCAGCTGCAAAATATTTTCAATAAACTGGAAAATCTGACTGAAAAAGATATTTCAAATGTTAGTGATTACGTTGAAACTTGAACAGTGATGAGCACTTTAATGAATTATATTTTTGTATGCTAATTAGCACTCGTTCTCACTGTATACACATTCCAAATTATTAAAATTGCACAAAAATTTTATGAACACCATGTACATTACACCATCTTCAGTGACTATATTTTCCAGTTAGTCTGGAACACAAACACGCATTGCTTTTGTTATGAATCTTACTCACGTCTTTGATCTTTGTGGCTTCCAGCAGATGTGAATAATAATCATCTATTTTTATTCTAAAGATCTGACTCCATTACATTGTATGGTGTTGGCTCATGCCACGACAATGAAACAGTTTGAGAATTCAGACATGAACTATGACATAAAGAAGTTCCTTGTGTTGAGGAAGGAACAGCTACTGGATGGAATGAGATGTTTGCTGAGGATGGGATCATCTCTCTGCACACAGGTATGGTGGTTACTTCAGCCCTACACCGATTGTGTTCATAGTTCTCGTTCGTTGGAAGCTGGGAGAGCAGTTCATCGCTGAATAAGTATTGGATTCAAACTGAATCTTTTTTAAGATCAAATCCTTTATTATGACTGATATAAGTGATATGTTAGAGAGTGCCATATGTGTGCATTTTCCAATTTATGTTTGTAGGCTCAGTACAACAGCAATGACAAAGTATATTTATATCACGTATTCTAATATAAAATAACAGCCCAAGGTGCTTCACATGAGCAAAAATCTGACACTGAGCCACATAAAGAAATGATTAAAAATGTGGTCGAGGAAGTGGGTTTTGAAACAAAACTTAGAGGTGAAGGTAGAAGTGCAGAGGCAGAGGGGTGGGATAGAATTCCAGAATGTAAGACCTATAAAGATGAAAAGAAACACAGGTAAGGTCAGAGCTGTGGAAGTTCGGCAAGTGCAAGAGGTTAGACTTGGTGGAGTGAGTTATAGTTCACTGTGATGAGAATGTGGAAGAGCTGTTCTTTGACTTTAAACGTTAGCATCACAGCAGTATTCAATGCATCATACTTCATGTACTATTTTAATTCCCCACTAAGCAATTTGTGAATCACAGTAATGTGTCAAATATGATTGAAATTAAAAAAAACTCAAGTGATAAAAACCAAATGACAAGAACAGATCAGATCTAGGAACCTTTACTGGAAAGTGTGCATGTATGATATTGGGCAAGGGTTGGGTTTGAAAAACCAGAGTTTAGAAGCCAAAAATCAGAAAATCTGCCAGCACAATGCCTAGCCTGGGCACAGGAAAACAGATTTTGTGAGCAACATGTTTAAGAATCAGAGATACTTAAACAGCTTCCATCAGCAGTTTTAGTAAAGAAGGGGAGAGTAAAAGGGAGAAGGTTGAGGAATATCTCAATTGATGTGTGACAAGATCTGTTCCTTCCTTAAAGGATCTGATTGGCCGAAATGCCATCGACCTTGCAGAGGAACTAAATGACACTGAAGTTCTGAATTTCTTTTATGGCCATCTTGACGGAAAGAAAAATGCCCATCACAAGGTACATTTCATTCAATCAAATCAATCAACCAGCACTAGGTACAATTTCATGTCTTCATTTTAGTGAGAATTTCTTTTGATCCCAAAAAAGTAAAATTGCAATCGTTCTCATCATATACAGAGGTGTTTTGTTTTAGTTGGGTATAATTTTATTTGCTCTTATGGTCAAAATTTAAAAATGAAATTCACAGAGAAAGATGGCACTCGGGTGCCAAAGCATCCTATAGAAGGAGATGCCTGGGCTCTTGTGGCACAGTGGTAGTGTCCCTAGCCATGGACCAGAGGGGGATGGGGTGCTGGATTCAAGTCCTACCTGCTCCAGAGATGTGTAATAACATCTCTGAACAGGTTGATTAGAAAATATCTAGAAAGGGATACTTATTTAGCCCATTGTGGCAATGCTGGTCCGTTGGAACAGCAATCCACTTAGCCTGCTCCCCTGTCCTCTCCCCATGGCCCAGCAAATAACAAATGTATTGGTTAACTAACACAGCTTTTGATTATTTATGTATGAGCAACGTTGTTTAAATCATTCCAAGATATGACTTGTAGTTTTCTAAAATGTTGAATAAGATTGGAAGCATTTTCAACAGACAGTATCGTGATACAAACACAGATCTTTTATTTTCCTAAATATACTGAGAGCTACATTTTCACTTTTCTTTCAATGGTAGTATTGTTTTCCAAGATTTTAATGAACCAGATTAAAACAAAGGTACACTCAATCTCTAAAGGCAAAGCAGAAGTAATCCAGGCCATCACAATGCCCCTGCACTAATGGCCTTTTGAAATTTCTTCTCAAGCCACTTAACTGCTGAATAATTTCTTATTCAGCCATTGATTTTACAAGAGTTTTCAATATGCCAAGGCACCACTTCAAAAAAGAAAAGTTAGGACATGGAAACCATGACTTATAATAATCTATGCTTTAAATGCTAGACTGAGAGCTTCAAGTCATAAAGGTGACTGGATAATCTTTTTTTTATGATCACAGTGGGCCAGGCAGCATCCATGGAGAAAAAGCAAGCTAACGTTTTGAATCTAGATGGCTCCTCATTACACTCAAAACATTAGCTCGCTCTCTCTCCATGGATGCTGCCTGACCCGCTGTTATTTCCAGCACTTTTTGTTTTCACTACAGATTCCAGCAACTGCAGTAATTTGCTCCTCCCCAATCTTTTTCTTGGTTGTTGTTCAATAAATAATCAGAAGCCCCTAATGAAAGAAACTCTTTTTGGCTATTTTGCAAAATGCCTGAGATTAAGATAGTATGGATAATAAAAAAAAAACATCTGTTATACATTTCCTGCATGTTTTAGTCCCAAGTCTAACTTTTTTTACATAAAACTTTACACACAAAAGGAAACTAAACCTTTTTATTTAAATGCAGGCTTTTTATTCTGAAAAATATTTCTTGTAGCTTTCAAATTAATAAACTCTTAATTATGTTTCTGAATTTTTACCGGAGGTCTAGGTTTTAAACCATATTTATTTATAGGCATCTAAAAACAAAATGTGTTTAAGTCAGTGAGATTTTAAATATATTTTTGTAATCCAAAAGGAATTTTCACCATGTGGAGTATTCAATGTGATGGATCAAAAAGCTAATTCACAAGAACTGGCTCCAGAAAAGCTTCCTTGTGACATTTTCCTGCAGACCAGGATGTACTGTGAGGTAGGTTAAAAATTACATTGGGCTGGATATATTCCTGAAGACAACATTTGATCAAAGGCAACAGAAATCCTGGAAAACACAATTTAAATTATTGTAACCACGTTTAAAATTTAAAACATTTGTGTTTGTGTTCTCCAACATATTAAAATACATTTCCTTCTTTTATTTTCATCCAGGAGCTTGATAAGAGACTCGACAGTGGGTTGTCAGTGAGACATCCCAGAAATTGACAAGTAAAAGTCCGGGAGTTGTGAAGTCTGAGCTGAAGTTGAATGCAGAGTTTGTAAACCTAATTACACATAATTTTAAAAATGTATACATCCAAGTCTTTTACGGACTAATCGCACAACAATACTTGGAGCTCTCCAAATTAATTTCAGCAATCTGTTGCAATAACAGCCAAAATGTTATCACTTAATGAATGACGTTTAGTTAAATAAATAAAATAAAATGTGAACCTATCTATCTCCCAACACTTGAGCAACTCAAAACACATTTGAGTTTTTTCTTATGAAAAATTCAGTTTACTGCTGAGGAACAACAAGGAAATTATGACAAGGTTGTTCCTTGCTTCAGCACAGATCAGGCTGTTAGTGAAAGGCAATGAGGGTAATGAGTCTTACCAAATTGGCAGCAGAGAAATGTAACATTTCAAAGAGCCATAGAGCAATCTAAATGTTGGAATTATCTCGTTATTTTCAAAAACATGTGAACAAAATAAATCAAATAATCTGGATTAGATATATTATAATGCAGAAGCAGCATACAGCAGATATTTATAGATGTTTTGGGTCCCCAAGGAATGCAAATGTTAAGTCCTGGTATTTTTGCCTTTCCAAACTAAATCATGATGAATTTAGTGGCAATCAGAATTTGTCATTCACCTGCTGGTCAGGCACAAGATTAAATATCCACCAAATTGTTACTAATTGATGGGAAATGAAACTCATTCCAAAAATACTTTAAAAGGAATCTCTTCTACCTCCATTGCTAACCAGTAATGTAAAGAATTTCAACATTAGCTTCTGCTGTAGGACTTATAATCATATGGAAACCCATAGTTGCAATTAGCTGGTTTCTGTGAAACTTCCATTGTTGGCTGCATTGTTTAGCAGACTATATTGTGCATTTTATTTGAGTTACAAAAACGTACATCTGATCATTCCTTTCATTTCTTGGCTGCTAAGATTTTATTGCGTTTCTTTAAAAACTGTGTGCACGTGTTACTTGTTTGTTCCTTTGTTAGTTTAGCATATTCTTGGATTGAGAATTAAGATCCAAGGACTGATATTATCTTGCGGGATATGACACTGTGTATTTGGGGGCAATGACTGGTTTTTGATATAAATGTTTAAAATGTCCATTTTGAATAACTATAAAATTGTTGCAAGACAATATACTGTGGTTTTATAATTGAACAACAATATTGGTTCATTATCTTGCAGTTATGCATATTTCCAAACATAACAATTATTTAAATTAAATGTTTTCATTCCCTGTTTTCTCCCTACATGTTCTGGGTTATCTTAATGACAACTCCATTTGATAAAGTACTGGAAAACATCAGGACCTGTTATCCTCAATCACCTTCTGGCAGATTTAAATCCAGTGAGCACATTTAGACATTTAATGAAATTTCTATTGTAACTTAGGGGCTGGAAGTTAATTTGGGGATTGCAATTCATTATTAACATTTTGTACAGTTACACAACTCCCTTTCTCCCCTGTAGTGGTTGTACAATGTTCAGGAGTAGATATTTTCTCTCAGCAAAGCTGTTCAGAGATATTATTACATACATATAGAGCAGATGAGACTTGAACCCCGGTATCCTGGGTCAGAGATGGAGACACTATCACTGTACCATTAAGGCCCTTGAAGATGAATTAACATGGAAAGTCAGGTGAAGTTCTTGTAGCAGTGGGACAGTTTTCAGGAGTAGATATTTAGAAAGAACACCAGGAGTGTAGTGTCACTGTATTTTCAACTTCTGGTATTTGAGGTTTGTATCTCTTAGAGTCATAGGGTCATAGAGTTGTACAGCAGGGAAATAGACCCTTCAGTCCAACTGATCCATGCTGACCAGATATCCTAGACTCATCTAGTCCCATTTGCCAGCATTTGGCCCATATCCCTCTCAACCCTTCCTATTCATATACCCATCCAGATGCCTTTTAAATATTGTAATCATACCAGCCTCCATCACCTCCTCTGGCAGCTTGTTTCATACACACACCATGCACTGCATGTTACCATTTAGGTCTCTTTTAAATCTTGCTCCTCTCATCTTAAACCAATGCACTCTAATTTTATACTCCCCCTCTCTGGGGAAAAGACCTCGGCTATTCACCGTATCCATGTCCCTCATGATTTTATAAACCTCTATAACATCACCCCTCAGCCTTTGACACTCCAAGGAAAATACCCCCAGCCTATCCAGCCTCTCCTTATAGATCAAACCCTGCAACCCTGCCAACATCCTTGTAAACGTTTTTGAACCCTTTCAAGTTAACAACATCTATCACATAGCAGGGAGGCCAGAACTATGCAGGAAAGATGATCTTGTTCAGCATGGAGTTAATCACATCTCCCTGAAATGGTTAAAAGCAGGAGTTTTACTCTGTATCTGATCTATAATTCACCTGAACCTGAGGATAATGGTAGAAAAGTTTATTCCTTCAGCTGTGGCATCTCTATGAGCACTTTAATATTTTTTAAACAGTTACTGAACAGATTGAGCAAGATTGTCTCCTTACATGAAAGAAAATAAACATTTATGTAAAATACATTTTATTCTCTCTTTTAAAGCAGGAAGGCTGTCCAAATATTTTATTTATTCAAGCAGATGCTTTCTAACTTTTATGATTATGATATCCATATGGGGCACTGGAATTGATAACTTTCCTTTGTTAGAAACAAGATTTCCCCTTAACAACCAAAACCCTACCTTCACAATGGATTCAGAGGGCTCGTTGTCGTCATGGTGAAAGCATTGCTGTCCTTAAACTTGGTCGGACAGCAACAAAGATAGTTGCTTTATCGGCACCCCTTCTACCTACTTCAACATACAACTACTCGACCATCAACACACAGTAGCAGTCAACACAGTGTGGAGCTGGAGGAACACAGCAGGCCAGGCAGCATCAGAGGAGCAGGGGAGTCGACGTTTTGGGTCTGGACCCTTCATCAGGACCTGAATCGTCGACCCTTCTGCTCCTCTGATGCTGCCTGACCTGCTGAGTTCCTCCAGCTCTACACTGTATTAGCTCTGATTCTAGCATTTGCAGTTCTTGCTATCTCCCAACACAGTAGTAGTAGCTCTGCCATCTACAAGATGCACTTCAGCAATTTATCAAAGCTTCCTGTGACAGAAACCAGTGAGCTGTACCAACTGGAAGGACAAGGGCAACAGATACACGGGACCACGTCCACCTCCAAACTCCCCTCCAAGCCACTTACTATCCTGACTTGGAAATATATTGCTGTTCCTCCAGTGTTGCAGGAAAAATATCCTGGAATTCCCTCCCTACCCCCATCGTGGGTGTAATACATCAAATAGATCACCGTGATTCAAGAAGGTAGCTCACTACCACCTTGTCAATGCAACTAGGGATGGGCAATGAATGCCGGCCCAGCTAGCAGCACCCAGAAACCACAATGAACATTTTTTTAAAAAAGGAAAATGTCGGTCAAATCTTTCCAAAAGTTTGTTAAAACATTAATAAAGTTTTTCTAAAACAAACAACAGAAGGTTTCGCAAGAGGCTAAGTGATCAAATCATGGCTAGTAAAAAGTTATTTTTATGGCGTTTACCTTAATTTTCCCTGAATTTCATGATCCTATCAATTACATGCATGAATATATATATATTATAAGTAACTGTGACTTATCAGCATATAGTATATGTTAATAAATTACAATGTAAAGCTCTAATTTTTGCAGAATCAGAAATATAGATAATTGCTATAAATGTTTTTATAGATAGTTTGGTAGTCCATAACCTTTTTAACGTTAGAGTGGCTTACCTCATCCTGACTGTTAAGGAAGTAACCACGTAAAGTATCCCCTGTGTTATGAGTAAACTTGGCATAAATAAGCTAAAATAGAAAAGGAATTTGTTGTCATGTGTATTTTTACTAAAAAAAATACAGTGAAACCTTGTATAAGTCGCCATAACATGACAACCGCATTAATGACATAAGTCATAGACAATAAGCATAAAAGTAAAAATGAAGGAAAATTTCATCTCGGATCGATTTCGGTTTGGGGAAAGCCGATTAAAATGACAAATGCTGAAATAAATGGAAGCCACTGCCAAAGAAGACCACCACACCGAGACAAGACCACCACACCGGGACAGGACCACCACACCGGGACAGGACCACCACCACCACACTGGGACAGGACCATCACACCGGGACAGGACCACCACCACCACACCAGGACAGGACCACCACACCGGGACAAGACCACCACCACCACACCGGGACAGGACCACCACACCGGGACAGGACCACCACACCGGGACAGGACCATCTCACTGGGACAGGACCACCACACCAGGACAAGACCATCACACCGGAACCAGACCATCACACCGGGACAAGACCACCACATCGGGACAGGACCATCACACTGGGACAAGACCACCACATTGGGACAAGACCACCATGCTGGGATGAGACTTCCAGGTCAAGACTAGGACTGCCATGTTTGAGCCTGAATTCACCAAGCCCGGATCTGGAATGCCCGGAAGTTGCCGCTGAAGAAGACCTCAAAGTTTTACAAGACCTCCACCCGGCACAAGACTGCCGAACCTGGAGACTGCCATGACAAACCGAGACTGCCCCTCCGGCACGAGGCCTTCACGCTGGACCAAGACCACCCCATGGGGCTGGATGCCTCCTCATCACTGGGCCCGGGCCTGTAGAAAACGCCTTTCACCAAAGCCGTTAAAAGATGATAAACATTAAAAAAAAGCAGAGAGAAAAAATGTAAAAAGTGGATGGAGTAGATGAGCTCTGGGCTCCTGGGCTAAGAGCCCACAAGCTCCATTGCTAGTCTTGACACTTGAAAGCTTGAAATTTTATGGAAGCTTTATACTTGATTACTTACTTAACCTTAATCTGGAATTTTTATTCCAAAATATATCATTATTCTTCTCTTTTATTCAGTTTATTTACTTGTTATCATCATTTAACAAAGTGCAGGAATCCCTCTGATCAGCGTGAGGTCAGGCATGTGTTAGTATACTTGAAATGAAACTGTAAAATCATCCGATTTTTTTCCTTCCTCTGTTCCCCTGCGGCTGAAAATCCTGTCCATCTGCTTGATGATTGTGAGACACTTGAGGCTGACCTCCCATCTTCCATCCCCGTAGACTTGATGTTGTCTAAAACTCTGCTATCCACGTCCTAACCTGCACCAAGTGCATTCAGCCATAACTTCTGTGTTCACGGACCTAGATTGACGTCCAGTCAAGGAATACCTTGATGCTATGGATCGCATCCTGGTTTTTAAACTCCTTTCCCTTCGCAGTTATTATAAGCACATCTAACCCTGCAGCCCACTGAGATATCAGCATCCTACAACTTTGGCCTCTTGCATATTCCTCTGTTAATTGCTCTTACCTTTGCCAGTGGCTTCAGCTGCCAATGCCTAAAGTTCTGGGTGGCACAGTAGCTCAGTGGTTGGCACTGCTGCCTCACAGCGTCAAGGACCCGAGTTTGATTCCACCGTTGGGCAACTGTCTGTTTGGAGTTTGCACGTTCTCCCCATGTCTTCATGGGCTTCCTCTAGGTGCTCCGGTTTCCTCCCACAGTCTGAAGATGTACAGGTTAGGTGGATTGGCCATGCTAAATTGCCCTGTAGTGTCCAAGGATGTGTTGTCTATGTGGATTAGCCATGGAAATGCAGGGTTGGATGATCTTCAGAAGGTCAGTGTGGACCAGATGGACTGATTGGCCTGCTTCCACACTGTAGGGTTTCTATGATTCTGCAATTCCTTCTCTCAAGCTGTCCACTTCTGTGCCTCTGTTTATGCCTTTACGACAAGTCTTAAAATGCATCTCATTGGTCAAGGTTCTGTCCATCTTCATTAGTGTTGCTGTATTTGTCTCAGTGCCAAATTTGTCTTGCAAAGTGCTTTGAGAAATTATACTGTGCTAAAAGTGTTTTATAAATGTACTTTGTTGTTTCTATTGCTGTAAGCACTTTCTAAAATAATGCATAAAGCCTCACTGGAAATGCCAAGCATTGTACATTTTCACCAGTGCATCTCTGATTTTTGTGTCAAATACTGGATCTGATTATGTTGAAGAATTCAGATGTTCAATTCTATGGCTGAGATT